CACCATGTTTCTCCCCTTTCTGGCTTCCAGAAGGAGAGGTGGAGGAGGAGCTGTGTTGCCTCCTGCCCAGACTCATGAGAAGGCAGATCCCCCACCCACGGGAAATCTGACAGGACACCTAAACCCCTGGGGTGCCCAGGACCCTGGTGAATCCACCCTCCCGATCTGTATTCCCCACCCCCCACAAATGGTAGTCTCACTAATACAAGGCGGCCATTCTACACTCCGCACAAAAACCCTCGCTCACGCCAAGGTGCAGAGGCCCCCAAAATCTGGTCCATTCCTGCACCCACATCACTTCCAGGTTCCAGCTTGACACCTACCTTCCCTTGAGCTCAGTACAATTCCGTCTCGAAATTCTGCATTTCACAGGCTAAACTGTGAAGTTAGCCACCAGGAAAGAAGCCAAAAACTGGTTAGAGTTTGAAGGACCGCCGAGGAAAAAATACAGGTTGCGTCTATTTGAGCCCCTCTGCGTCTGTCTAGAGAGGGCGCTGCAGTCTTCCAGGGACGCCGGCCACTAGCCTTGGCAGTTCGCAGGCAGCCAGGGTCACCTGGAGCATTCCTTGGGCCCCTGGGTCCTGCACCGGCAGTCCGCGCCCTTGGAGGTCAGCTCCGCTCACACCTTGCTGGCCTGCTCATCCCGCAGCAGAGGCAGCAGCGGGTGGAGCCTTGCGCTCGGCCACGTCCTGTTCCAGAGAAGCACTGCTGTGTCTCCGGGGAAAAGTATTGCTCCCGTAAGAACCACATTCCACAATGCAGCCTTAGCCAGAGTCACCAGAACAGGCCACAGCACCATCACCGGGGGGCCCTGGGCGCAGGAGTGACAGACACCCACGTGCACCAGACGGCTCCTGGACACTCCTCCAGGCTCACCACAGGGGCACTGTCCACAAGCTGGCACCACGGCTGGGTCTTCAACCGTCTGCTCCATCATTCCACCCGATCCTTGAGTCGGGGTCACACACAGCAGCCTCCGCTTTGCATCTTTCACTCTGAAGAATGGCTTCAGCCAGAGGCAGTGTCGAGCAGGGTACCCTGGTGACGGGCGTTCACGAGGCAGTGCACAGTGATGCTGGAGGAAGCACAGGGGACAAGGGCAGCAAGTCCAGGGTGTCCATGATGACAAATCACCGCCCAACATCACAGACAGCGTCCACCATGGTGGTTGACTGCTGCCCTTGGAGGAGGCACACGCTGTGGGCTCTGGACTGGCCTGCTGGTGGCCCCTGAGTTTGGTGAGAAAGTTACACGTGGTTACACTCGCAGGTGGCCCCCATTTCTGCCCTCCTGGAACCCGTGCAGCAAGCGATGTGGTTCCCCCAAAAGGAAGTCTACTGGCGTCCAAGGACCAGGTCACCAGATCTCAGGACTCCTTTATATTCTTAAAAATTATTGAGGACCCCAAAGGGCTTTTGTTTATGAGGGATATATCTATCTATATTTACCATGTTGGAAATTAAACTGAGAAATTCTCTAGGACGCCTGGGTGGCTCAGTTGGTTAAGCGTCTGCCTTCAGCTCAGGTCATGATCCCAGGGTCCTGGATGGAGCCCCACGTTGGGCTCCCGGCTCATTGGGGAGTCTGCTTCTCCCTCTGCCTGCAGCTCCCCCTGCTTGGGTTCACACTTTCTCAGTCTCAAATAAATAAAATCTTAAAAAAAAAAAAAAAAAGGAAGAAAGAAAGAAAAGAAACAGGAGGGATTGGAAGGGTGCTGGAAGGCTAAGCCCCAGACCTCAGGAATAGACAGAACCAGTCTGCTAGAGCAGGAGGAGGGCTGCCTGCAGCAGGGGGAGGGTTCAGGGGCAGGAATGCCAGCAGGTTGGAGGAGAGCCAAGCCGCCCCAATGCCCTGGAGCCTCAGGCTCCTGGAGCCCAGTGAGGCCTGACAGTCCCCTGGGTGGACAGAAATATGGGACCTTGGCCCCCACTGCCCTCCCCCTACCCTGGGGCTTTTGGAGGTGGCCTGGTTATGGTCTGCAAGGGGCACAGAGAGGGTCTGGGGACCCTGGCACAGGAGCAAAGATGGCCTCTCCTACTCTGCACACTGGGGACCCTCCTCAGGGATAGATCAGGGTAGTAAATTTGGACCCAGAGAAGCAGCCTGCTGAGCACCTCCCTTCCCCACCCCAGCCTCTTTGGAGAAGGCAGAAAGACCTCAGCACACCCTCAAAGGCCCGTCACCGAGGACCCTTCCTTCCAGCCTTTCTAGTGCCCCCCAGCACCCCATGATGCAGCTCTAGGGAGGGACCCCCTCAGCACTCTGCACCTGCCCTGGCCTGAGCTCACAGGCTGAGAGGGAGTGTGGAGGAGGCCCCCCACGCCCGGGGAGGCTGCCCAGGGCAGGTTGCAGTCTTCCAGAAGGAAGCACACGTGAACTGGTGGCCGGGAGCAAGTCTCTGACACATCTGAGCCCGTGCTCTCCTGACGCCGGCACTCAGCAGGTGCACAGGTCCACGGGAGGAGCAGGGCAGTGAGGGCAGCCGCCAACGCCGCCGCGTCCAGCGGCCACACCAGGGGTTGGAGTGGAGGTGAACATTCAAGATTGTGTCTTTAGTCCCCAACACACGGATATGAAATACCATTTCTTACTCAAAGAGATCAGGACTCCTTGGAGAAATGGCAGATTCTAGGTCTGGGGCACCCTCCGTGGTAAGCCGGGAAAAGTCCCTGCTGGGGGCTACCCCCAGAACGTGCTGCCGCCAGTAGACCTGTGAGCTCACCCCTCCCCCATCTTTGCAGTATATGCACCCCACTTGCCTTCCCCACTCCCAGAAGCTGCTCCAAGAACACAGCCTTGAGATAGCGGTGTGGTGTCGAGCCCCTACACATGGTATGTGTGACTGGACCCCATTAAGGCCTCTGTACACATTTTTAAGATTCGATCCTTGTTTAAGTAGGCTCTACACCCAATGTGGGGCTCAAACTCACAACCCTGAGATCAAGAGTCACACGATCTACGACTGAGCCATCCGGGTGCCCCTAAACTTTTAAGACTCTAGCGGGCAAATGCAAAGATCGACTTGTGACCGCCCAAGACAAGCCTTGTAAGTTCCCTTGCTTAGAAACCTGCCACCTACCCATCTGCAGTGGCCTGTCTCTTCCATGATTCCCTGCCCTCTAAGTATGGAGGTTGGTTGCAGGTTACAACTGGGAAGCTCCCAAGGGGCTTGGGAACAAACAGCCGCCCAACAGATGTGCACATCAAATCCCTGGAATTTGTGAACACGACCTTATTTAGGAAAAGCATCTTGCAGATGTGATTAAGTGAAGGATCTGGAGATGAGATCATCCTGGGTTACCCGGACGGGCCCATCACTGGGTCCCTATAGGAGCGAGGCAGAGGGGCGCCAACGGGCGGAGAAGCCGTGTAGACAGCAGGGAGGCGCAGTCACAAGCCAGAGGACGCAGGCAGCCCTACAGCTGAAGCGGCAAGGAGGGACCCTCCCTGGAGCCCGTGGAGGGATCACAGGCCTGCCCAACACCATACCAGGATCTGACTTCTGGCTTCCAGAACTCGGGAGAATCCATTTTTATTTTAAGCCACCAAATGTGTGTTAATTTGTTACAAAAAGACAGGGAATTACCCACTCTGGGTGTCTTGTCACACCAGACAGCGGGATACCCACCAGAGACTATTGTCATGTCAGGAGGACCTAGGAGCCATCTGGAAGCTCCACCCCAACCCTGGCCGAGTGGAGTCCGAGCACTAGCGAGGGTGGTCACCCAAGCACGAATATGCTGAAATCTACACATTCTTTTTTTTTTTAAAGATTTTATTTATTTATTTGTTTGTTTACTTATTTGAGAGCGAGAGAGAGGGAAACAGCATGAGAGGGGTTAGGGTCAGAGGGAGAAGCAGGCTCCCTGCTGAGCCGGGAGCCCGATGTGGGACTCGATCCCAGGACTCTGGGATCATGACCTGAGCCAAGGGCAGTCGCTTAACCAACTGAGCCATCCAGGTGCCCAAAATCTACACATTCTTAACACAAAACAGACAAATGGATCACCTTTGCATGGTGCTAGGAGCTAACTCTTGCAAACTCTAAGTTAAGAGGAAGACTGGAGCCTTCACTTGCCTTTCCTACAGGAGCTAACCAAACAGCATTTCTCCATACTGCCTGGTTCTCTCAGATGAATGAGGGTGGCGGCCCAGGGGCCGGAACGTCACTGCTCTGCCTTCTCACGTTCTAATCTGAACTAAGTGACTCCCAACGCAGAGCTTGTGCTGACTGGATCAAGAATATGCCACACCGGGTGCCTGGGTGGCTCAGTTGGTTAAGCGACTGCCTTCGGCTCTCATGATCCTGGAGTCCCGGGATCGAGTCCCGCATCAGGCTCCCTGCTCAGCAGGGAGTCTGCTTCTCCCTCTGACCTTCCTCCCTCTCATGCTCTCTCTCTACCATTCTCTCTCTCAATAAATAAACAAAAATCTTAAAAAAATAAAATAAAATCGAAAAAAAACCCCATCAACAGAAGGAAACTCCCTGAGACAAATGATCCCTTTCTTCCGAGAAATAAGCTGCTAGAAGGTAGGGAGGAAGCCAGCGCTAAACCGTAGCACTGAGGGACATGTACTGGGCGGGGGGGGGGGGCACTCATACGAAGGAGGTTATTGGCCAACCGAAGATGTGGGCGCACCTCGGGGCACGGGGAGGGCCCTGTGCCTTCCCTTCATGCCTTAGGTTTGCTGCACTTAACCCATGCATTTGTTATACGAGGAGGTTTTCTGTAATCTGTTTTTCTAGCTATCGAATGTTTTGCTTCATCTTGTTTTTAGGGACACGGAGCCCAGAGCACTTGGTGACTGTTTTGAGAATGTGAGGACGGACAGGGCGACCCCAGGTTCTGATGCCAGAGCTGGAATAGTGAGCAACAGGTTTATGGTGGCAGGCGTGACGGGACACACGTGTCTAAGGAGCCACGTCCTGCCTCCCAGCGCAGAGTGCCCTGTTGCCATGACAGGCCCCCATCTCAGTGATGCTCAGGCTCACAGGCTGCTTCAAAGTCTTTATTAGCACTGAGCAGAGTGGTCAGGGCAGGGAGCGTTAACTTAGGTGTGCATGTGGAGTCCCAGGACAGCGGCCGTCCCCTCGGGCACCTGGCCAGGCTGGTCACCAGCTCAGCACACCAGGGCAGTACTTGTCGATGAGGCCCTGGTAGTAGGGCCGCAGTGCGTCCACATCTGGCAGTTCGGGACTCTTGGTGTAGAGGTCAAATTTGCTGCAGCAGGGGAGGGACCGTGCCCTGTGAGGAAGCCCCGGCCCCTTCAGTCCCCTGGTCCGTCCCCCCGCCAGCCCCCCACAGGGATGGCCATACTTAAACTCCTGCACCCAGGGAAGCATGGCCAGGTCCTGCTCACTGCACAGCTGCCGGTAGTCGCCACCCGTGTGCCAAGGGTAGAAGGAGTGGAATCGGACCATGTAGAAGGCCTGAGGGCAGAGGGAAGCCACGCCCAGCACGCTCCAGGGGGGCGGGGCAGGGCGATAGGGGCAGGGCGATAGGCGGGGCTTGCCGGGGTGGGGCGGGGCTCTTGGCTTGGGCCCTCCCCTCTACCTACCTCTGGGGGAAGAGAGAATTTGTTGAACTTCATCATCTGGTACATGTACTCTGTGGGAGATACGGTGTCACCCCCGGGGTCCCAGAGCCGTGGCCCCCACCGCGGACCCCATCGTCCCCACGGCCCGCCTAACTAGCCTCACCGTCATGGCCCCAGGACATGAGGACGTTCTCCAGGCCGCAGTGAGGCTGGTACATGCCGAGCTCCGTGCTGCAGGGAAAGATAGAGGGTGAGGGGCGTGGGAGCAACGTGCGGAGGAGGACCGGCAGCGGGGGAGCAGTACCTGTATCGAGGATCCTGGAGGTCCGGGTTGTCCTGGAAGGTGGAGTCACAGAAAACCACAGAGGCCTGGGGACGGCAGCCAACTGGGAAGGTGTCTCCAACGACCGCCCACTGCAGACACGCAGCCACGGTGGGTGTGACTGGCCTGCCCACACGGCAGGTTTCCAGAACCCTGAGCCCAGGCTGTCCCAGCCTCACCGTGCTGCACCCCTCCACCCCTGCCCTTACCTGGGGCTCCCCTGTCAGAACCAGGACCTTCCCCAGGTCATGCAGCAGCCCCACGAGATGGAACCAGTCTGGAAGGGAGAGGGACAGAGCAGGCTAGTGCCTGGGGGTGGCAAGACCAGGGCAGAGGAGGAGGAGGGGGCTTGGGGCTCAGGGGTGAGGCCAGGAAAGGGCCAAGACCCATTTGCCCTCCCACTGCAGCCCACCACGGGAGGGAGGTGCACCCTTGTCAGGGTGGGCTTTCCGGATGCCCTCAGCGGTCTGGAAGGCATGGAAGGAATTGGGGAAGTCCACATCTGGGTCCGACTCGTCCACCAGCCTGTCCAGCATGTCCACAGCTTCCAAGACGGTCATTTTCTTGTAGGAGAAGCCCCCAAACTGGGTGTGCTAGGCCAAGACGGGGAGGTCAGCATGGCCATGGGGTTGGCTGGATCAGGGCCCAGTCCCTCTCCATCCATCCATTCAGCCTGGGGAGGTGGGGACCGGCGGCAGAGGAAGCTGCCAAGTACCTTTTTCCTGACGAAGTCCACGGTCTGCTGCGTGTGCATAAGCTTGTACGTGGCAAAGACACGGTCCAGGAGTGGGCCAGACTGCAAGCCAGAGGGTTAGCCAGGAGGCTCAATCCCTGCCCTTCACACCTATGGGGCCCACTGCTCCAGTCTCCCAAGCTTGGGCCCAAAGGTATGAATGGGGGCGTTCAAGGGCGGACCTGGAGCTGTGCAAAGGGGCAGGTGCTGCCCTCTCCAGAGAAAGATGGGGCTGGGGTGGGGTTGGAGCGGGGCCAGGGTGGGGCCCTTACCGTGTAGTTGCGGAAGCTGCCCTTGTCTTTGGCCACCTCTGGGTCCACATCAGGCCGGTAGACCAGGGAAGGGTCTGGGCCCTGGTTGGGTGGGTGATTAAACCCATTTCACCATGATGCCAGCTCCATGAGGAAGCGAGGACATCCCCATGGGGACACCAGAGCCTAAGAGGTGGATCAGCATCGAGGCTGGCGATCAGCAGGCACAGCCCCTCCCAGGCACACCCGCCATCAGAGGCAACCTCGCTCTGGGTGTCCTTCTCTGCAAAGTGGATGTCAGCCAGATGCCTGCTTCCAGGGTGATGCAGGGGTGCACAGGATGCTGTGTGGGGGCGCACAGCACCAGCACCCAGCATCTCCTTCTCAGGACCTGGGTCTGCAGGGAGCCCACGGGTGGGGCTGCTGACCCTTGCCCCAGCTAAACCTAAACTGCAGGAGGAAGACAGGAAGGAGGGAGCCCTTTGACCGGGACCAGCAGACTGGCGGGAACCAGCTGGGAGAGGGTGGGGGGCTGCCACTCCTTCCCATGAGGGACAACTAGCCCCCGGGTGAGCAGTCTGTGGGGCCACATCTACGCTGGGTCTGGAGTACTCACCACAGCCACCTTCATCTTCATCTTGAGGGAGTAAAGTTGGCAGGTGGGGGAGAGTCCCACGGGCTGTGTGCCCCTATATATGCCCACAGGTTACATAAGAGACCGGACACCACCCAGCCCCTTGGCCTTGGCCCTCGGTAATGAGTGACCATCCACCGTCCTCCTGGCCTCAGAAGTTAATGTGTCAGCACAGGAGCAGTTCCCAGCACCCCGACCCAGGCCCCAGCCCCCTGTCCCTGACTTCAGCCTCCCTGGGCGACTGACCTGATTAGGACCCGGAGGCCGAGGCCGGAGTGAGTGTGCTGCCAGCCTCCTGCACTTCCCCCAAGGGTTTTAAACACCTCCCTGCCCACAGTAGGCCCCTCCCAACAGGTCGTGCAGACCCCAGACCCCACCCATCAACCTCAGGCCCTTGGGATTCTGGGAAGGGCAGGGGCTTATAGGAAGAGTTATTCTGACACTTGCTAAATGGGAGTGAAAGACTTTATTCACCACTATTGCAATAGGGGAGAGAGAATCTGGCAAAAGCAAAGACTGCCAGGGACTGACTGCCAGTGAGCAGAGCAGGGTCAGGGGATGGAAAATTGCTAAGGGCTGATATCAAGGGGGGGGGGCGGATTCTTGCTAAACCGGCTTACAGGATTCTTGCTAAAAGGCCGGCCAGGTGATCAGATCTCAAGGGCGGGGGCGGGGGTGGGGATTCTTGCTAATACTGGGTGAGGCCTAGTGGAGCCGCCCGGCTGGTTTGGTCAAGGGTGGGCTCTTTGTCTGGCATTTGAGGTGAGAGGCTCCATCCGGAGTCAGGGCAGAGATGAATTCAGCCAGCACTTACTGCATGGACCTGGGCTAGGCACCAAAGATGCAGCAGGGGCCTGACTGATACATACGCCTTCCTGGGAGCTGACATTCCCCAAGGAGGAGGCAGACACACAGCAAAACAAGTCATTGTTGCCTATCGGAAAGGCCGGTGCTCTTGAGAAAGACAGTGGGGGGGGGTCTGAGTATGGTCAGGTCAGGGAAGTCTGGAGGTGGACTGAGGGCAGTGGGTGACACTCAGGGTGTCAGTCTCCACCTGGTGGTGTGCGGGTCAGAGCACCTACTCAGCTTCACTGAGACAAGAAGGCTGTGGGGTTGGGGGCCTGCTCCTGCCTGTGCTGAGAATAAACTTGGGGGGAGTGCTGGGGCCCCCCACTTAAAATGGCAAGGTTCGGGGGGTGCCTGGTGACTCAGTTGGTGAAGCGTCTGCCTTCGGCTCAGATCATGATCCCGGGGTCCTGGGATCGAGTCCCGGGTCGGGCTCCCTGCTTCGCGGGGAGCCTGCTTCTCCCACTGCCGCTCCCCCTGCTCGTGCTCTGTCTCTCTCTCTGTAGCTGTGTGTCTCAAAGGAATAAATAAAATCTTTTAAAAAATAAAAGAGGGGCGCCTGGGTGGCTCAGTTGGTTAAGCGTCTGCCTTCGGCTCAGGTCAGGTCATGATCTCAGGGTCCTGGGATCGAGCCCCGCAATGGGCTCCCTGCTCGGCAGGAAGCCTGCTTCTCCCTTTCCCACTCCCTCTGCTTGTGTTCCCTCTCTCGCTGTCTCTCTGTCAAATAAATAAATAAAATCTTAAAAAATAAAATAAAATAGTGAAGTGCAACCTGCCTTCAGGACTCTCCCAGTGCTTGACACATGCTGTGTCATTTGCTTGTTTTACCTTTGAGCTTCTGCCTCCTCCCACTAGGATGTCAGGTGGGGGGTAATCGCTAATGTTTCTCAAATGCTCAACAAACAATGCTGAAGGGATGGAGGGGGCTCCAGGGAGGTGACTGGAGCCGTCACCCAAAAGCAGGTGGTGGCTTGGACAGAAAAAGGAGAAAATGACCAGCGCACAGCATTTGTCTGAGGAAGATGCGGCTGGTGGGCGCTCTGGGGGAGCTCGGGTGCTGCCACTGAAAGTCCAAGTTGGGCATCAGGTAGGTGGCCCCGGCGTGGCCTAGAGCTCAGGGGCCGGGTAGATGCCACATGTCACGGCACAGGGATGCCTTGAGGTCAGCAGTCCATCCTGCTTTGAGGAAAATCTACCCTGCACTTTGGAATGGCCCAGCAAGGGTACAGGGCATGGGATCCTGGGGGTCTGGCAGCTCTGACCAATGAGGACGGGACAGTGTGGGGGGTGTCCCCAGCAGAAAGAACATCCTGTGCGGAAGACCGGACCACACACAGACCCAGGACTGGAGCCTGGGGGGGTCTTGGCCACGTGGCCCTCCTGACTGTCCGGCTTTGACCTCCTAGACCCCTTGTCTCCCTCTCTCCCCAGTCCCCCTCACCAGGCCCGCACTGCCCGCTCTCCCTGCCTGCCCTGCTGACACCCTTCGGTGGCTCTGAGGGCCGGCCCACTGGCCTCTCCCGCCCTCAATCACACTCACGCTAGTTCCAGCCTCTCTTAGGTGCTTTGGCGGGGGGTGGTCCCCAGCCACACCCACTCCTCCTGTGGCCTTGGGGCCTTGGTACTCTCAGCTCCTTCCCCCTGCGACCCTTGCAACCCTCAGACCTACGCTTCCTCCAGGCAGCCTTTCCTGCCTGCCTTGCTCTGCTTCCCACACAACACGGACCACCCTCACTGCAGGGCAGGAACCTGCCGGAACTGTCCTCACAGGACCCAATGGAGGGAAGATGCCTTACCTGGCCAGGTGATTCCCAAGCCAGAAGAGCAAGTACAAGGGTAGGAGCCCAGGCGGGCGTTTCCAGGAGCCTCCCACCCTTCGGAGGCCCAGGGTCTCTGAGGGGCAGGCCTGCCAGCAACCCAGAGCACCCCTGACCTCTGTGGCTGTGGTTTCTGCTTCTAGAGGTGGGAGAACAATAGCACTAGTGCTCTCCTCACAGGGTGACCGACATGTGTTGGCAGATTAAGTGCTGTTACGAGTGTTTGCCGAGTACTAGAAACCACCTTTCTCTTGGGGCGCCTGGGGGACTCTGATGGTTAAGCGTCTGCCTGCTGCTCAGGTCATGATCTCAGGGTCCTGGGATCGAGCCCCATGTCGGCTCCCTGCTCAGTGGGGAGCCTGCTTCTCCCTCTCCCTCTCCCTCTGTACTCTCTCTCTCTCAAATAAATAAATTAAAAATCTAGAAAGAAAGAAAAAGAAGCCACCTTTCTGAACACTGGGTCATGCCCATATGATGTGGGGGCGTCCGTGATGAGGGACTAGCAAAGGCTCAGGGATCACAACACGCAAAGGCCCGACCTGGGGTGATATACACCAAAACAGGCCAGAGATCCTGTTCTAACCTTTAAAGGGCAATCTACCTCCCCAAATTCTCGACACACCTGCTCCAGCCTCCTGCTGTCCCCGTGCCTGCCCCCAGTGCGTCCCCAAGCTGGGCAGGGTGGGGTCAGGGAGACTCTGTTGCCTGCAGCGCCCCCTACCCTTGTCTGGCCCTCCCACCCCACCCGAGGTGGTGACGGTTCTGACCTCATTGACCTATTTGGGCTGGGAAATCTTGCCCCCACCCAGCCCCACCCTGCCCTGAGGGATGGGAAGGGGCGCTCTGCTCTGGGCTGTCCTGCCCCCAAATGCCCCAGTATGCCTCCAGAACCTCTACGCCCTCTCCCAGTCTCCCCAGCTACCTGGCTAGAGATCCAGGGAGGGGTCTCCATTTTCACCTAGGCTCCAGAGAACATAGCTCCCAGCAGACCTGTCCTCCCTTTACCCTGGCCCTGGGGACGGGGACCACAGTGGGGCCCTCCTGCCTGCTTCCCTCCCAGTCTCAAGGGCACAGGGAGTGGAAAGGCTAGGGACCTGGGACAGGCAAAGTGTGCATGCCCAAAGCCAGGGTTGAATCTGATGCTGTCAGGACTGGGGGGGGGGGGAGGGGGGGGGGCGGGGTCATGCTGGGCCAACTGGTGCTTGCCCAGCATGGCCCTGGGTATTCAGGACCCTGGCTTCTGCTCCACATCCTTGGGCAGACCCTGCCCCTCTGAAACCCTTTTCAGGGGTACAGACTCTGCCTGCAGATCTCCTTGGGTCTATACATGTGCATGGGTTTCCGCGTCCAAAGCTATTTAAGGTTGCTTGCTACAGAATCTGGTGGGGGTGGGGTGGGCTGGGAGTTGCCTCCAGGGCCTGCACACTGGTTACTGAGGTGTGCAGGAGGTCCAGGGGGCTGGGTGGGGACTGGGGGCCCAGATGCAGCTCTGGGATTGAGGCGCAGCATCCCGGCTGGGCCAGGCATGGGTATGGCCAGCTCCGCGTCAACCATAGCTGTGGGGGCTGCTGGGGTCCATGGGGGCTGAGTCCCGTGGGCCAGCTGACCCAACCAGCTGCCAGAGGCGGTGGCTGAGGTTCTGCACCTGGCAGGTGCCCAGCACACAGCCCACCCGCAGGAGCTGGGCTCGGGACCTGCGGGGACCCAAGTGCCGGTGGAGGCCATCCCGGAGAGGCCGACCCGTAGCGGGGGCTCGGCTGGCGCTCCTCTGTGGCTGGAGGGCCTGGTGTAGCTTCCAGACCACACGCCGAGGTGTAGGGTGTTGAGGCTTCAGGCCACTGGAAAGGGTCCTGGCTGGGGGCTCCCTGCAGAGGGGAATGGAGGAAGTAAACCTGTTGGCCCAATCTTTCAGGGACCCCCCTCAAACCCACCCACTTTCCCCTCCACACAGGCTTGGGGTCATTGGCAGGGGAAGCCCAGGATCCCTTGGGAGCTCTGGGCTTGGGTCCTGGCTCTCAGCCACCTCAGCAGCCCAGGTCACATGTCCATTCACCTGTGCCTCCCTGGGCAAAGGGCAGTGCTGGCCTCTGTGGGTCACTATGTTCATGACCTGTGTGCCCCCCCTTCCCAGCCCTCCCCTTGGGGTGGGGTGGGGGGCGGTGGGCACTCTCGGGGGATCCCTCCAGCCTCCCCTCTCCTAGCCAACCTCTCCTTAAGGGGGTTGCTCTGCCAATGGGGGAGGGGAGGGCCCTAGGAGAGAGGCAAACAAAGAGGGGCCTCTTGCCCTGCTCAGGATTTGCTGAAGGCATATTTTCTGGCCCTCGATTTAGGAGGTAAGCCCTGGCAGCAGGTGGGGGGTTTCCCCAATGCTGGAGGAATGGGAGGAGGGGGGTACGGGGAGCGGAATGGAGGGCGCCCTCCCCAGGCATTCTGGTTTCCTTCCCTGCGGGCCACGGTTTGGGCTGGTGTGAACCCCACTCACCTGGGTGGGGCAGGCTGCTGGCTCCGGCCCAGGCTGCGGGACAGCGTGCCTGGGAGCAGCAGGTAGAGCAGGCTGATGCAACCGAAGGTGACCGTCAGGAGCCGGGCCATGGCGGGCGGGGCTAGAGGGAGTGTGAGCCAGGCAGGTGTGGGGGACCGACGGCCCTCACCTCCAGCCACCCCTTTCCCCGGCCTGTTGGGAAGCCTTGGTGATCAAGGGCAGAGGCGTGGGGACAGGCAAGCTCGTACCTATGTCTGTCGGCGAGTAGGTGTCAGGCGAAAGGCGGGCCGGTAGGTCTGCTGTTGGCTGGGCAGGGAGCACCTGGTGGGTGGGGAAACTCCTCAGTCAGTCTGTGGTCTGTGGTTGGTCAGGGTCCTGCTTGGGACCTGGCCTCAGCACCTCCAGAACTAAATAGTCTTTCCAGGAGGAGGCGGAGCCGGATGCTCCAGCTGGGCGGGGAGCCCGGCCCTCCCGCTCCCTACTCCTGCCCAGCCCGCTGGGTAGCACGGAGGGTGCAGAGAAGGGGGGTAGCCTGACAGGAGCCCCATCCCGCTGCGAAGTGCTCCAACTGGCCAGGGACCCTAGCGGCTACCAGCCTCATCTCTGGCGCCTTCTGGTGGAGAGCACTGTCCTGGAGCCTGGGAATCTTCCAGGCTGAAGGAGTGGGTGTTGGGGGTGCAGTCAGCTAGGCCGGGTCCCACCCCTAGATGTCTGCCCTGATGAGCGGCCTGGGGCCCTGGCTAGAATCACTGCGGGGGAAGAGCAGCCAGCTAGTCAGTTCCTCACAGAGGTGATTTGGAGACCCTTCCTCCAGACCCCCTCACAGCTGTGTTCTGAAAAATCTCCACCCTCTTTTCCCCTTTTAATGAAGTATTAAATGGTTTTTGTAAGAAATTTAAACAACTAGAAAGTGAGACCCCTGCATTGCCACCCACTGTGGATTCTTCTGGGTGGTCACCGCCTGACTTCCTCTCACGCACACTAGTGTATTTCACGAGGGGCAGGTGGTGGTGTGTCTGTGTTACACGGGCATATGTAAGTAAAGACGTATGTAGAGAGAGAGACCGCCATTCTTTCTTGTGCTTGGCCCTCCTCCAATGTGTAGGTGTTCTGTAACTTCTTAATTGATCTTTTGTTAATGAGCAATTAGGCCTTGTCTGGTCTTTCCAAGAGCAAGAACCCTTCTGTTGTGAGCTCAGAGAAGTGTCTGGATGGGATATTTTCCTAGAAGTAGAAATTCTGGTTGAAGGTGAAGCTGTGTGTTGACCAATAGTACCAGCTGTTCTCCACAAAGCCGTCCACTCTCAACCGATAACGGGCTTGGCTTTAGCCATTCTTGGGTCTTTGTCTATCTGAGAAGGGACAATTACCCCCCCCCCCCCCATGTTTCTTTGATCATCTGAGCATCTCTGTGTCCACTCACATCTCCTCCTGTCTTAGCTGCTCCAGTTCTGTTCCCTCTGTCAAGTCATCACGGATGACCTGGTCACTCTGTTCCTCCTGCTGCACACATCATGGGAGCTCAATAAACATTTGCTGGGTGAATAAATCAACAAGTGTGGAACGCATGACATATTAAAGAGCTTGGTTTACATCCTGAAGAAGGTAGGGAAGCATCAGCAGCTATTCCGGTTTCTATTTGTTTATTTATTTTTACCACCTGGGGGAGGAGAAAGTGTGAAGCCATCACATTTATATTAGAAAAGTGCCTGAGGGCGAGCAGATGGGTCTGCAGACGGGTCTGAGAGAAACTGAGCGACACTGGGGGTCGAGGAGGGTCAGCCCTTCTGTTTGCTGATGCAGGGAGCCCCTAGTGAGAGAGGGTAGGGTTTGGCTGCCTGGGGTCATCCTGGCAGACGTGTCTGGCTGCCCTCCAGCCTTGTGGGCCTGGGGCTGAAGGGAGGGCCAACCTGGAACACAGATCTGGGAGTTTCACAGATGGCAAGGCTCTGGGAGGCGAGAGGTGTGGTGAGCTCTGCCCCCAGACAGTGCAGACAGAGGACAGAAGCCGCACGCCAGCTCTGGAGGGACAACCAGGGAAGGGGTGGGCAGAGGACCCCCAGGGAGCCTGCCCCTCCACCAATCTGTCCGCCACAGTCACCAGTGCCACTTTCTAAAACTCAAAGGTGATCGTACTACTTATCTCTCCAATAAAGAAGAAACTAAATCAAAATTCCTTGCCTCTGCAAGATTTTTTTAATCTGGGAAAGTGAAGGTAGACCTCAGTGCAGTTCATAGGCCTGTGGGTCACTGCATTCTTTCAGAATACTTGCTGCCACCATGGGCCTGTGGTCCTGTCTCCCCCCACCAAACCCACAGATGCATGGGGTATCTTCTGGCCCCCAAGTCTCAGCCTGGCCGCTTATTTTGCCCCTGTCCCTGATGACTGGATGAGAGGCCCCTTCTGTGGCCCCACAGCCCCTGGATAGCACATCTTGCAGTCCTTACTGTCTGTAATGGTGTGTGTGTCCTCCAAGGGGAGACCCAGGGCTACCTTCAGTTATGCTCAGTTGCAGGAGCATGCTGGCCTGTGGAATTTCGCAAGAAGCCCAGAGGTTTCCCTGGCAAGTGGGGACTGGGCCACAGGAGGAAGGTGGTGCTGATGATGTTGGAAGAATGCTTTAGAGAAGAAATTTGTGTGGGGCAAGAAAAGCGAGGGTGGAGGCTGGCTGGGCAAAGAGCTTGAAGAGAGGTTTTGCTTGAATGTTCCAAGGTGGGGAGACTGAGTTTAATCCTCATGGCCAGCATCTGTAGAGAGGGCATGAGTGAGGATGGGGGGCATTGATAGGGAACAGCAAGCGGTGGGGAGGAGGGTGGGAGGGGCAGAGCCTCAGTGGTAACTGTGGAAGGAGGAGTTGTGGTGTGAGGGGGCAGACTTGGGGTTTGCTAATGCGAAACAAGGCCTCCCCTCTGATGGCTTTGTTTTCTCTATGAAGGAGGGGCAGTGGGGTCAGAGACTCCCCGGACATCAGCAGGCCGGGAAGTGGGGGGAATGCCCATGGTGTCATCATGGCCACTCTGCACTATGGGGTGGTACAGGACTGTGCGTGGCTGGGGTTTGCCAGATGAGGACAGTGAAAACAAAGTCAGAGAGGCCGGGGGCTGACAAGGACATGGGCAGGATGAGAGGTGATGGGAGCCACAGTGGGTGGGGGTAAAAGGCAGGAAGGAGGAAGCCAGGGAGATTCACTCCCTGCAAGAGGGCTGAACCTGCTGGAGAGAGGAGGTGACGGGGCAGGCCTGGTGCCCCGGAGGAGGTGACATGGACAGTGCAGTGGTCAGGAGACTTGATGGTGAGAAACTCAGTGGGGATATCAAGGTCTAGAAGGGACACCAAGCCTACCCTCGACCCTAAGGCACCTCTGAAAGGGCTGCAAGGAATGGGCTCCTCAGGGCACGAGGGTCGGGGCGTGGGGTGCAGGGTCTCCACAGTCTCTGAGGGACAGCCAGCCCTGGACTCAGGCGCCAGGCCAGAGGATTTGCCAGGGACCCTGCCTGCCCAGGCACAGCTCGACGGTGTGGTAATGTGGTGGTGAGGACCTTTTTGGGTATAAGTGACAGAAACCAACTCAAGCCACCTGGGGCCAAAAGGAGGGCTTCTCAGCCTATGGGCCCAATACCCAACAGAAGCAGAGGTGTGGCTGGGCCTGAGCCCCAGGACCGGGAGCAGAGGGAAGCGAGCGCCTGGTGGGATCTCTGGGTTCAGCTTCATTCATTCTACGGCTGGCTCCTGCAAGGGAGGGGCACATGGACGTGGGCAGTCTGTTCCTTTCTAGCTCTTGTGCAGCCACGCATCTAAAAGCAAGCCCAATCCTGCCAGCCCCCTCCCAGCTGACCAGTGAGCGGCCCGAGGCTCCCTCCACCTCTCCAGCTCCTCTCCCAGCACGTCCTGCCCTAGACTCCCGTGTCCCCCTCGCCCATCCCTGTGCCCCGGCGGGGAGGTCCGGCCGGTCCTCGCCCCTGAGGGTGGTGCAGCCAACTCCCAGGCACCGCACCCGGCCTCCAGGTGCTCTCGGCTTAGGACGCTGCTCTTCACAGCGGGACCGGCAGCGCACCTTGTTAAAGGACACCCCACCCAAGGGGGGCCCGAGCCCTCCTCGGGCCGTGAATCCCAAGGGCAAGTCCTGAGTTCTCGCCCGCAATCCCCAGATTGGCAGCCCACGAGGGGACGGCCCCGGGCTCGTCCTGTGCCCCAGGCTTGGGAGATCTGGTGGCAGGCCCGGGCCCTTCTGCCTTCCTCCAAACTGGCAGCGCCAGCGTACAGCGGGATCCCCGGGAGCTCCCAGGAGCGAGGCCCGGCCGGTCTCCACCCCGGCGTCGGAGCCCGGAACTCCAGGCCACCTCCGACCCCGGCCGCGCCTGCCGCTGACCCGCGCGAGCCGCCGTCGCTGTCAGCGCCCGGGGGGGCGGGGCCGGGAGGGGACCCGCCCCCGGGAACCGAGCCCGCGCCGACTGGCCCAATAGGAGCGTGTAACTCCGGGCCCCGCCCATGATGGGGGCGGAGCAGGGCCGCGCAGGCGCACGGCGCGGCCGGGCGGGCCGGCTGGCTGGGAAGATGGCGGCGGGAGCCCTGGCTGCCGCCGCGGAGCGGGCCCGGGGTGTCCGGGGAGCACGGGCCAGGGCCGGGGCCGGGCCATGAGCGCGCCGCCCTCGCGTCCCCGAGCCGCGGAGCCCGCCCGCGCACCTCGCCATGGCGCGGCTCGCGGACTACTTCGTGCTGGTGGCGTTCGGGCCGCACCCGCGCGGTGAGTGCCGGGCCCGCGGCCGAGGGCTGAGGGCGGAGGGCCGGAGCCCGGAGACCGGGAAGGGTCAGCCGGGGCGGCAGGACAGGCGCTCCGGGGCAGTCGCGGGGACATGTGAGGCGGGCGGGCCGCGGCCGCCGGGCCAGCACGAGGGTCGTCCGGGGCACCTGCCGGGCTGGGGTCGGGGGTCGGGGAGGGGCGGCCTCTCTGAGGACAGCAGGGCCGTCCGACACGGCGAGCCGAGCCTGCCCACCACACTCAGGACAGAACCGGGTCAGGCAGAGCTTTGGCGTGGGCCTGGGAGGTGGGAGGGCCCCGAGAAGGCTCGGCCTCCCGGCTCCCAGTTGGGTGGGATGGGCCCTCTCTGCCTTGGCCGACTGCCGGGTGGCTCTGCCTCAAGGGGCACGGATACTTCGCTTGCAAGCCCCTCCTTTGCCCCCCAGTGCCTCTGGTCTGGAGCCTCCGCCCTGCCCGTGTGAGATGTCTCAGGTCCAGGTGGGATGCAGAAAGGGGTGGGATTTAAGGACCACTTCAGGAGGAAATGTGAGGTGGAGAGAGAGAAGAGCATTCCTGGCAGAGGGCCTGCGGTGCTCATGCCTGCAAGCCAAGCCCTGGGTGGGGGATCATTGTGG